AAAGGAGGGAAAAAAAAAAGTATGACATAATATCCTCAAAACGAGATGAGATCATCTTTCGATGGCTGAGATTTCTTCCCTTCACCTCCCGACTCGGAGGTCCCACCGCTAGCTTTCTTACCAAAGATCATCTCATCAAGATCGTCCAACATGTCATCATTGTTGCTATTTCCTCCATGGCTTCCGGGCCGGGAGCCCAAAGGTTTTCTAACGAGAGTTTCTTCTTTCCCGGCCCGTGGGGACTCATCGGGCTCCACTGCAACTGGTATCATGGCAGGCTCAGGCTCCTGTGGGACATCGAGGGGCTTCTTCATTTCCTCGTATTTAGACAGGACTTTCTGGATCTCGTCATTCACGTTCAGTGCTTCAAACAGAAGGGCCTCATTGTCCCCGGCTGTCTCGATTATTGTCTGAACAGTGTATTGGGACTGGCGGCATTGTTGTAAAAGTGTGACGGTTAAATCATCCTGCGTGAAAAAAAAAAAAATTGGAAGATTGTGAAACAGAAATTGCGAGATAACACATAAGCGAAATTCATTTCTCTTTTGCTTTTATTGTCCACTTGTGTGAATTAAATATTTTGAAAATTATAGTTTGACAACATCTCGAGTATTCTACTCAACCATATTGAGATTATGTCCATAACTCTATGATGTTCAAAATTTATGTCGGGTATTACAAATAGTTCATAAGTCCAACTCCAACTCTTAAACAAAGTTGATCATTAAAGAAAATAGTCAAATAGATAGCCTGAAAATTGTTTGTACCAGTCCAGACTCTATAATTAATACCGGCTTCACGTAAGCCAGTACAAATGGAAAACTGGTCAATCTTTGAACAAACTAGTTATCAAATGAAAAATGTTAATAGCAAAAATGATTCAAATTGAATCCGCAAAATCTGACATAAAATATGATGAATTACAAGAGATTGACCATGCCCCTACTAACAAATTACCAACTAAGATGTTTTATTTGTAAATGTTAAAGAGGCATGGAACAACCACCAACCAAGGGGAAATAAACAAAGGGTACCATAAGTGAACAGACAGTTAAAAAAAAAAAATATATCAAGCAGACACAGAGTTCCATAAAAGTAGGAAATACTTCAAATGTTGAGTGGCATGAAAAATGCATACCAATCGTTTCTGGGTACCTGCAGAGCATCTTGCTGAGGAGAAGAGGTCAGAACAGTATTAAGAAGC